ATTTTTTTCTATTAAAAACGCGTTTTGCTGAAATCTTGCTCTGAAAAATGAGTGACATCTATAGATTGCTCTTTAAGATGAATTTATGACGATTTTAAAATAAACTGTGAGGCCTTAGGACACCTGATTTTCCAATTAATGCTTTCTATTTATTTTTTATTCCAATCGCTGTGTGTAAATGTGGCCTCTGCGGCACTTTAAACTCCCCTCCACGGCCTGATTTGAATCAAACCCTCCGCCTTCCTGTGTCCGGCCGGTATCTACCTGCTGTTTGTCAAAATGGTCCCTCTCCGCTCCGAGGTGATGCTCGGTCCTCTTGCTCTTCACCCTAGTGTGAATGCTGTTCATCCTTCAGTCCTCACAAAGACGCTTTTCACAGGGGAGAAGGAGCGTCTGTCCGCTGCTGTCCGAACCGTCCAGATGAGCTTAAAGTGCGGGGGTTTCCTCTCCTGTGCGCAGAGAGCGTCAGGGACATTTCCGAGCTGCGCCTCTCTTTGCTGCTGATGCGCCTCGGCTGGAGGAAGCAGGAAAAGCAAATGCGCGTCTCTCCAAATGCTAGACGGCGGTATGCGTTACGTGGACGGATCCACCCACTCATCATCATCATCATCATCATCATCATCATCCAAATCCACCCACATGCAGGTTGTTCTCTCTGCCTGCTTTCAATTCAGTTCCTGCCCATGAACTGAATTATTACTTTAGTCTGCTTGTGGTTCTTCTGTTCTTTATATTGTAGTTTCCTCACCAATATTCATGGAAGCCATGTTAGATTAAGCAAAATGCACCTGGATTATTTTATTATTATTATTTTATTTTTTTTAATTTACCACTAATCCTATGATTGCATCTAAAAGGAAATAAGAGTGACTCCAATTGATGACATAAACCAAGGAAATGAGAATCAGATGATGTGGGTGGACTGACATGTCACTTTCCATGGCGCATGTGACTGTAGGGTTTTAATTACAAACATCATTTGCTATGTCAGATTGAGTCAAGATGATTCACCCAAGGTTCACAATGGAGGATCTATATTTAAAAGAGAGCTTAGGGTGTTTTTGGGATCCTTACACAGCAGTAGTGGTTCTAGGCCAGCTTTAGTGGGGCCAGGGTGGGGTCAGTGTTTTCTTATGGGGGCACAGAAAAAAATGCATGAAAAAAAAAAAAGGCAATAGATCATCATTTTATGGTCAGTCGTTAATTATGTGAAAATTGCAATCACTTTACCCCTAAAACTGCGATCCTAAAAGGGAAACACCTTTATTTTTGAATGATGATACAAGAAAAAAAAAACATTAGATAGATCCAAGGAACCAGTCAATTAAAATTTCTTTGCCAATGCATATAATTATAATAAGTTTATTTAATATTATGTCTTTAGTACAGGAGCCACTGGCCCCTGCTATAAAACCCTGCTGTTTAGCACTGCCTAATGTTATACCGTGAGGACTTAGCCATGCCTGGAAATCCCTTTATTTCCAAATAAAGAGATCAAATAAGCCTATCCCGATAAGGGGACAGGTTTGTGGATAGTAGTGAAACCACCACTCCTTTTTTGCTAAATAGGATTTAGGTACTTTGAATAAGCCATTAGATTTCTCTCATACTAGGTTGTTTTCCTGCCAGAGGGCCAAGCTGTACCCCAAACTAAAGAACTTGCAGCTTTTAAAAAGGTTTTTCATTCTCATTGTAACACTTTCCTTTAACACCTGCCAGCTTTACTCTCCATGCTAAGAAACCCATCATATTATTAATTTGCTGCCATCACAATTCACTGTGTATGCAGGTCAATATGATAAAATTAGATACTGTTTCTAAAACTCAATTTGAAGCATTTCCTTTATAATTCTAGACATATTTTTTTGGATAAAGAGCAAATCAAGAGTAGTGAGCTAAATAGGGTCAGCACTTGGGTTCTGTCATAATGAGAGATTCATTTGCATCCTAGACTGGAGAGCAGTTTTGTGTTTTATAAGCGGGTAGCTGAGGGGGCAGGAGAGGCAAAGCAAATCACAAGTGCCCAAGTAGTAAACCCTGTAGGACTCTAGATATGGTGGAATATAATAATTGTTGGCTGATATACTCTTGTTTGTTTGAGCTTAGAACTTCCATGCCAATGCTAAAGAGGAAGACGTTAATTTGCTGTTCTACGGTTTGTTAGCCCATGTTTCTTGGTTCTTCACAATCCAACAAATGAGTTGGAATATGTGGACAAACCTGATTACAGGTGCTAATCTTAGATTGTCTGCTTTTTAACCGACACAAGCCGCATAGTTTAGAGACAAAGGAAACAGTTAAATGAAGGAACAGCAGTGGAGCTGCTGTTCATTCATCCTTTCAGGCTGGCTTCAGATCAGCCCACATTGCATTTAAACTGTGACCAACAGCATGTTGCGGGAGCATTTTTTTCTAAAGTAAGACAGTAATTTTTTCTCTACATTACATTGCTCTTAAGGCTGTCAAACTAGACATTCTTGTTTTGTTCTGTTTTTTTTTGTGATGGGTGGAGTTGCAACTGCAGTGTTTTTGTACACAGATATGCAGGTGAAGAAAACAAAACGGCTGGTGGGACAATCGGAGGTGGACACAAAAGGGACTTGTCTGTCCTGCAGGCTAAACCGGCTGGTTCACATTTTTATATCTCTGTCTGAACTCTACATCAGCATTACAAAGCACAATACAATCCAGTGAGATAGAGGCAGTAACATCCTCAGACGAACAGCTCAAAGATATGCATGATACATGGAAAGAATCTGACTGACGTTACGGTGGATGAATGAAGTCACTCAGGGATTGCTTTTTGTAGGGCCTTGGGGAGGATTGTAGTGGGGAGGTGGAAAGTTTACCTGTTTGCACTCCCTGTCCTTTCTTTTTTGTTTGCTGGATGCTACTGTTTTGCTGTGATAAAATGGGTTCAGTTGGAATATAAGCTTTTTTGTGTGTTTAAACAAATGGCATAACAGTTGTCATGGTTTTGCATTTTTGGGAAAATATAATTTGTTGATGCGTTTATGTGCCATTTTACAACATACTTCCAATAAGATTTTAAACTATTTCTCTGATACTAATTAAAAGAAGATTTATTTTTTCATGTGTTCAAATTCCTTCGAAATATCAAGCTTGACTGTTTTCCAAAAATCAGTTCATTTTATTTTATTTTATTTTTTTTTTTTTGTGGCACTAATCCTCTTCCATAATATAGCGTCCTTTAATAGACCTGTAATCATACTATGTATACAAACAGAAGATGAAATGGTACTCATGGAAACATTTGTTTCAAAATAATAATTCAGCTACAGTCTTTATAGATGCTTCATTTGTGAAACATAGATGGAGCACACGTTTACTGACCAAAAGCCTTAAAAGTCACACGTTTTCCTTGTAAGAGACGTTCAAAATAAGTACTTTTACCTTTCGTCCACTAGATGGCAGTAGACATTAACGTGCTGATGCAGGAGGGTTATGCTCTGATCCACAATCTGGGGACCATAATTGACCTAATTACTTTTGTCACAATGGTCTATAACAGGTACTGTGAATTATGTAGTTACTTAAATGTTTGATTACCAAAAGGGTTGTTGCAGATGTTATTACTAAATTCCCACACACTTGGTACTTCCTGAATGTTATCTTTTTTCTTTTTTTATTGACAAACAATGCAAAACGTAAGGGAAAAAAGCAATATGTATATATATATATATATATATATATATATATATATATATATATATATATATATATATACAATTTTGTTTTGTTTTTTTGCAAGAAACTCACTCGATGGAGGCAGACAGTAAGGTATTTTCTTCAGCCAGGGCACTTCACACTCAGTTGGAGTAATGATCATGTTCAATAGGTTTCTGGAAATGTGATTAACCTCATAAGTGATGTTGATTGAATTTAATGAAGTACATTATGCTTTCTTGAGCAAGATGGTGCACAGCAAATCCAACATGCTCAAATCAACACTGTCAGATTTGATTTTAACACCCTTGAAGTGTCTATATGTGTCCACACCAGCGACTGTTAGTTTGACTCTTTTTGGAGAGTTTGCATTGTAACTCTTATTTAGTGTTACATTATAAATATTTCTGGAGTTTTGTAATTTACCACTTAATTACACCGACTAGGAGTTAGAATTGGAAGATTAACACTCTCATGGA